TCGCAAGGAATGGATAAACTCCAGCAGACTCTAGCCCAGAGCATTGCAACTAATATTGTAGGTGCAGTAAATTACGGTTCTCAGATGGCTTCAGTAATGGAGAATCTGGAAGCACTGGAGGGCTTTGTGAACCAGGTAATACATCGCTTTTTAATCATCTGGTACTTTTCCATGCATATTATCACTCTGATTTCCATTGACTTCGTGGTATTAATATCTTAGTTTCTGGGAGAATGAATATGAGGGAAGGACTATTGAGGTAATTTGAACAACTCATGCTGTCATATAGTTGACACCTGCAATTGACTTTTCTAAAACCTAAGTCATCAGGGCATTGTAGTTTTAAATTAGAAGCAGATAACAGACCACAAAGGACTGCAATTGGTTTGCGAACAGTCAGAGAGCAACCATCTCCTCTTCATTTAGAGCACTGTCCTGTGACAGTGTTTGATTTTTTAAACACGGTTTAACTTTTAAGGTGGAAAATTCTCCTGGTCCTTTAATTCCTAGAGTTCTCCAATTATGCACCTTATTGATTTTTGTAGTTAATTATCAACACTGCCAAATAAAAACTTGGTGGGTTCAAGAAATTTATGAAACTGAGTTACTGGCTTTCATTTGTTGTACCATCCATGTAGTGGCGCTGCTTGATTGTTTGATAAAAGGGGTTTTGGAACACTTGCAAGTTTCTTGGTTTTGCTCATATGTGTTGTATGATGAGTAGGTGATGCTAGAGGCAAAGCCTGATAGATATGGTTTCTATGTTCGATTTATTAACAAAAGTCCAGCCTCTGGGCCCTGGACTGCCAATAACAAAAGTTAAGACCTTCATGGGGAACACAACATACAAAATGTGTACATTGACATTATCCAAGAAAAGAAAAGGGAAAAAAAGAAACAATATTTTACAAAGAGAACAATTCTCTCTCTGCCCACGAGCACAAGTAAATTCTCCTTTAGTTTTTAACCCTTCAAGCAAAAGATGTTATGAATATAGAGCTGAATATCCTTGTCAAAACATATTCTTTCTGGAACATTAAGTAATTGTGTTAGCCATTTAAGTTCAACTACTATGTACACCTTGCCTTTTGAAATAATTTCCCCCTTGTGTTGGACTGTTGAGTGACTTTATTTATAAACAGGCAGATCACCTTCGCCGGCAAACTCTGCAGCAAATGTCTCGCATCTTAACAACTCATCAAGCAGCCCGAGGCCTGGTTGCACTGGGAGACTACTTCCAACGTCTTCGTGCTCTCAGTTCACTTTGGGCTGCTCGTCCTTGTGATCCTGCTTAGTATACTTTGGTCCATAAACCATCATATCTAGGTCATCATACGTGCCATCAATCATGCCTGAGCTGCAAAGGGAATATGTAATTTTAGCTTTTGCTTTTATGGAGTACAATTAACTGCTTTTATTTTTTCCAGTGTATATATAAGTCATAATGCTATGTGTAATTTTAGGAATATATTTATCAAGTTGAAATTTGAAGCAGGTTGTATAATATCTTGTCACATAAGGAATATGTCCTAGATCGATAAATTAACACATCTCAAACTAGTATATAAACCTTCTACGCACTTGTCACATTTGAGAGTCGGTGCTCTTTCCCGGCGCCTGCCACTCTAGATCACACTAAGCTGAAGTTTTCATTTGCCCGAATAAATTCAGAAAAGCGAAATGATTGTAATAAATCCAGTAACAAAATCGGAAATGATGTTTTGCCCAATTTTTGCAGCCTGTTCTCCTCAATTTTCCTGTGTACATTTTGTGATCAGAAGAATTTACTGCCATCAAATTGCTGTTGAATGCTGAAAAGTGAACTTATGGCTATAGAGTATGGCTGGAGATACAGGAGTGTTGTAAGCTTTAGAGTATGGTGAAACTAGAGTATTACTTTGTAGCTTTCCATTATGTAGTGTGTTTTTTTTCCCTGTAGGTCATTATGTAGTGTCTTGATTCAGTTTTTAGCCTGAATCTGCATAAGTATTGGCAACTATGTCCATTAGTTTTGTGCACTTGGAATTTTTCTTGTTGGTCTTTCATTCCTATGGCAGACCATTGGTGTTGTGGAAACCACTGAAACATAGTCCCTCAATCTGAGAAGTTCACCAACACAGGCTTGTGTTATGCGGCTTATGCCTAAGATATTGGGAAGGATAATAAGAGAATTTGGATTATTTTTTCAATGCACATTCCGAGTTTTATGCAATGATAATCGTTCATCGTATATTGGTGCAAATCTATATATATATATACACTAGATTCTATTTAAATATATATTGAATGATCTATCATCATGATAAATCNCGTGTTATACAACATGCGGATGAATAAGATTTGCTCACATAACTCTCAATACTGCATTACTTAGTGCTAGAAATTAACTTACGAAATTTACAAAAAAAAAAAAAAATTAAAACCCAAGGATAGAGGATAAGTGTTGAATGCCCATGGATACATATCAACTTAAAAAAAAATTAATTTNTCAAGAATAAACATACTGAAAATGATCTTGATCCAGAACAAAGTGGTAGATATTAGCATGACTTATGAGTTACCCGTAATCACCCTGGTTTTAAGCAGACTTCACTCGATAGCTCTATCTACTTGCCTATGTAGGGGGTGCATAAAACTCCTTGGATGTACATTGTATAGAGCAGTGACAATGGTATGCCTTCTTTCAAAGCCACGTGGCAAAAGAATTAGTTTCACTCACCTCCAAAGTCCTAGTGTTAATTTTATGATTTTAATTTTTTATTTGTAATAACTAAGTGTTAGTAGAATCTCACTGGTTGGCATTGCTACATTCAAACATATCTTACGACGGCAATGAGACTTTTGAGATTAATTGCAAGACACTCTCTCACTCAAAGAAGGGGCCAAGTCATATCAAGGAAAATAAATGTATCTTAAATCGATATCCAAAAGACCATTTATACAAAAAACACGTTCATACCAACTTTTCATGCATAGAGGCGGGAAGAAAGAGAAGGCTTAGTAATCCTCCATTCCTCCTAAAGGAAACAACTCCTTAATGTAAAAAAATTGTCCAAAAAAGGAACTTTAGAGAAAATCAGAGAGATGTTGAAAACCACATGGGTGGATGCCCACCGCCACTATTTACATTGACTTCATTATTTTCTTACTCTATCAACAATGTTGAAAAGTTTGAACCTTTGCCTCTAAAAGGCATACCCTAAATGAAAGGTGTACACAAGAAATAGATAATTTATTTATTTTTCAAATCAGTTATTTGCATTTAAATTATTTGATAGTTTTATAAAAAAAGAAAGAGAAAATAGAGAAGCGAAAAGAATATCAGGGCTTGTTTGGATATGTTCTCAAAACACAATATTCAAAAATATGTTTTTCAGACGAGTTTTAGAAAAGGGTATTTTGATTTTTTTGTCTCTCGGACTTTATTTAGTTATATGATTTTGAAATAATTTTAAAATACAAATAATTGTACAACATGTCTGGACAGTGATTCAAAAAATAATAAAAATATAGAATATAATTTGAATTGACTCTTTAATAAAAATCTTTTGAAAAAGAACACTAGGGTGAGGGGCAGGAGTGTGATGTGTTACCATAGTTTTTCTTTTCTCAATTTGTGTTATACAACATGCGGATGAATAAGATTTGCTCACATAACTCTCAATACTGCATTACTTAGTGCTAGAAATTAACTTACAAAATTTACAAAAAAAAAAATAATAAAACCCAAGGTTAGAGGATAAGTGTTGAATGCCCATGGATACATATCAACTTAAAAAAAAATTAATTTCAAAAATTGAATGTGCAGCAAAGATGTCATTCTTCTTCTCACTGTGAAGAACAATAAAACAAAGCCAACAACATAAATCCGAAATTTCTGGTTTGCATAGGGCCTAAGGAGAAAGTCAACTTCAAGAAAATATGCTAAATTATTCGACGAGAAAATACAAAATAAATAAAAAGAACATTCTTTAAGAGTTTATTAGATGTAAATCGGATCTCTTCTCATTAACTTGTGTCACTCGAAGGATCAGAGCTTCAAGCGAGACAGGTGATTTTGAAGTAATCGAATGGAGGACTTACTAAAGTAGAGGGAAATCCATAAATGAGAGGGAAAAAAATTCCTTTTAAATGATGTCTTTTAAGTGAACAATAGGTTACATTATGTGTTTTTAATTTTTTTTTTTTTTGAAACAATGTCTTAAAATTGACAAAAACATGTCATTAATGTTTTCTAAAATTATGACTTTTTATTTTCAAATTTTAAAAAACTAAATACAAAGGTCTACTATCTTCTGTTTTTCATACTCTCCAGGCCTGACTTTTCATAATTCCAGTTTCGTTAATTATGTGACAAAAGGTAGGTACAACCGTCAAAACGTCGTACCCTAACTGTCAACGAAGTTTGGAGCCAAACCATCCACAAAATTAAAGAAAAGAAATGAAAAAAAAAAAAAAANTCCGAAATTTCTGGTTTGCATAGGGCCTAAGGAGAAAGTCAACTTCAAGAAAATATGCTAAATTATTCGACGAGAAAATACAAAATAAATAAAAAGAACATTCTTTAAGAGTTTATTAGATGTAAATCGAATCTCTTCTCATTAACTTGTGTCACTCGAAGGATCAGAGCTTCAAGCGAGACAGGTGATTTTGAAGTAATCGAATGGAGGACTTACTAAAGTAGAGGGAAATTCATAAATGAGAGGGAAAAAAATTCCTTTTAAATGATGTCTTTTAAGTGAACAATAGGTTACATTATGTGTTTTTAATTTTTTTTTTTTTTGAAACAATGTCTTAAAATTGACAAAAACATGTCATTAATGTTTTCTAAAATTATGACTTTTTATTTTCAAATTTTAAAAAACTAAATACAAAGGTCTACTATCTTCTGTTTTTCATACTCTCCAGGCCTGACTTTTCATAATTCCAGTTTCGTTAATTATGTGACAAAAGGTAGGTACAACCGTCAAAACGTCGTACCCTAACTGTCAACGAAGTTTGGAGCCAAACCATCCACAAAATTAAAGAAAAGAAATGAAAAAAAAAAAAAAATTGGAGGAAGAAAGAAAAAAGCAGAGATTCTGTGAGATTCAACAGATATTCATTTTCAGTTTCTTCATTCGAATTGGGCTCGATAACAGAAAAGGAAAGTGAAGAAAAAAAAAACAGAAGATAAAAATGAGCAATTATCGAGCAATATGTAAACCACACACACTCTTTTTTTCATTCACAGTTTGTTGCAGAGACATAGTTCGATCTCGATCGGTGATTAGGGTTTCAATTCGAAACCCTAATTCTAATTCGAAACCTCGATTATCTTCGACCTCAGTTTTCTCTCGCTGGCCCAATTCCTCAGAAGTACTTCCCAAGATCGAGCCTTTGGGCGTTGGATCAAATCATCAGAGAAGGACTTTGGTCAAGGCTTCGAACTGGACCGAAGAGAAATCTCCCTATGAAACCCTCGGTAAATTCTACTTTTCCTTTTTTTGGAACACTTTAATTACCAACCCATGAATTGTATTTTTATGATTCTTTTGGAAAAGGTTTCTTTTTCGCGCCTAGGATATTTCTAATTTAAAAAGGGGGAAAAAAAAGTGGTGGGCATAATTTCCAAATTATTGTTGAAGACTCACTTCTAAATCCTTTTGGATTACTAAGATGTTTAGATTTTTGAAAGACAATTAAACTTTCAAAGGATTTTTGCATACTTTGTTGTTCGGTTATTCCTTTGGTTGAGTTTTTGGCGTTACAATAGCTAGTTTTATTCCTTGTTGTGTGCTAAATAGTTCTGGTTATTGTTTGTACATAATCTTTCATTTTATGTGGGTCAGATATTAAAGAAATTGATTTATTTTTTATTGAGTTGTAATGTATCATGAATGCCTCTCAGTGAATTGCATGTTTCCACCTTTCCCACACCACTGATGTGCTACGCTTTCTGGGTGTATTATTTGTGCAGGAAATGCTAAAAGGTTACAATATATTAAATAGATGCTTAGACATATTATAAAGTAAGATCAAAAATTCACAATGAGCAATTGTATTGGGTATTGTTTTACATATCATTTGTTTGTTGGGCGACGTTTAGCAGCAGTATCTCATGGAATTTATGATTCTGTCTGGCTTTGTCTTATCATGTCATGTAAGGAAGCTCAAAATGTTGTCCACATGCAAACAAATTGTAGAATCGTAAAACTAGTTCAAGGAATTACTAATAAAGAAAATGTACATTGTAAAATTGCGACATGGGTATTTCTGGAAGAAATCTTCTCATCTGTTACATATTGGAATATTAGGCTTTATCAATAATGTGTGCATTATCTAAAGATTCAGCCTTAACGTCATATTTGCTACCTCAAAATTGATTTTAAATATTGCATTCAAGGATGCTTGTTTATGATGTTCTATGGAGAAGTGTTATCGCTCACCACCAACCTCTTATCCTTTTGGGTGGAGAAAGACATGTTTAAAACTTTTGCATCTTGTTTTCATTTCATGGGATATGATGAGTATTTGCTGTATCTGATGCAATTCTTTATACACAGAGTTGGAAAGGGATGCAAATGAAGAGCAAATAAAGCTAGCTTATAGACGTTTGGCGAAGTACTACCATCCAGATGGTTTGTTCCCAATCTTGGGCCTTATTTGTAGTTGTGGATATGCACAATATATCTCAAGAGTGTTGGTGGTGTATGCAAAGTACATAGGCATTTAGTATTTTTTTTTCTTTTTGCAAATGAAACTTATGTCTATAGTGCTTTGTTTTATGTATATAATGAATTTAGAGTTAAGGTACATTAATATTTGGCATTTTGGTTGTGCATTCTATATGCTTATTGTTATTTTTGATAGGAGAAATTTATCAACTTGACTAATTTGGGTGTCCTCTTACTAACCCCCCCCCCCCCC